TCTACGTTTTTATTTTTCTTATATACTAACATATGTCTTTTTATTATTTTCAAAAATTTATTTTCTTGTAAAAATTTTCTTTACAAAATTTTCTTTAAATTTTTCCTTTAATTATTCACTTCATTATCTCTAGTTCGTATTCCATATTATTCTTCTTTATAATTTTACTGCTTTTTATCTTTAAAATATTTTATTTATCATCGTTCAAATATTTATTTCTATGACTTAATTAATTTAATAATTATTCATTTATTTTTCTTTTATTTGATATTTGTGTTTAAGAGTTTATTTAACAATTATTTTTGGCTCAAAGATTGAATGTTGGTCGTTGATACAATAAGGGAGAGTTTAAATAATAAAATACATATGATTTCTAAATTTTTACTTCTATTTTATACTGTTTATAATCTGAATTTCTACTGTAAATTACTACGAATTATTCTGAATTATTCTGAGTTATTACGAACTATTACTAAAATTACTAATTTCTATTGGTTCTTTTATGAATTTACTAATTTCTATTGGTTCTTTTATAAAAAAATAATTTCCTTTTATGGGTTACAAGTGAATTTCCTTCATTATTTCCAATTTTTATAACTGAATTTCCTTCTTTTCCTTCGGATTTATATAGTTTTCCTTTTGTTACTTCTGTTTTTCTAATTAATTTCCTTTAATCGTTGTCGTTACCGTTACTTTCGTTATTCGTATTTTCTTTTGTTTTCTTTGTGATGTCATGTGTTACAATTATGTTACACAAGCTTCCATGTGGTCCAGTCTGTTATTCCCAACAAGTGTGTCTTTTGTGTAACCTTTTTGCATATTTGTGTTACTTTTACAATTATTATTTTCAAATATTTTCTAAGTCTTTTCATAAGACTCTCCGTCCGATTGATTAATTATCATTTTTCCTTGACCTCCGTTTGGTTAATTAATTATCCTTTTTCCTTCGGTAACTAATTTATCTGAATTATTTTCTTCCGTAATTTATCCGTTTTGTGTAATCTTCCTTTTCGGTCCATAATTTATCTGAGTATTATACTTTCTTTTAATAAAATGATTATTCCAACTTTTATCATATGACTTTTACTTGTGATTTTTGTTGTATATTGTTGATCATTTCCTTTTGTATTGCTGCGCCTTAATTAATGTAAATGTTAACTCTACAACGCATTTGGAGAGTGTACACAAGAACATAAGAGCCGTTGTGTCATATGTGATCAACTATTTGTGCTTCTTGAACATTTGATTGTGATACTTCTAGAGAATTTTCGAACTACAATTGAAGAATCACGTAATAAACTTTATTATTTTCTTGCTCATCAGGCAAGAAAAGTTCATCTGAACAATCAATTTAAAGCAAAACTTTTAGAACTTGACGATGGATAGCGCAATTCTAGTATGTGATTACAAAATGAGGATCTTACCTAAAAGTGCTCATGAAACTAAGGAGCAGTTCTTTGGAAAACGTGGCTGAACGCTTCACATAATTTTGGTTTTTACAAAATGTAATGATTTACAACTAAATGTACAAGTATTTGACCACTGGTCTACCGATACCAAGCAAGATGCTTGGTTTACTGCATCATCTTTTGATGCTGTTTTCGAAATGTTAGATCCAAAACCAAAGTGGATCAAATTTTTCTCTGATAATGGCGGTTATTATAACAATTCAGAATTAATGACTATTGTTGCAAATTGGAATCAATGGTATGGAATTGACGTTCATGGATGGCATTTTTTCGAATCTGAAGAGGTGAAATCTAGTGTTGATTCACATCATGCGCAGGTAAGTTATAGTTTTATTTGATAAAGATATTGATTTCGTCTACAAAGCATTATATAATAGTAAATTATCAATACCAATTTCTTTTTAGATAGCTCATTCCATCAAGAGATATGTAAGAGTCGGGTATAATTTAGATAATGGTGAGAAAATAGAAGACGCGATAAAGAATCTTGGCGGAACTTCCGTTGCTCATCTAGAACCAAAACGAAATCATGTGCCTGTTAAAACTATATCTGGCATTACCAAATTATCATATTTTAAATGGCCAATTGAAGGTCCATTCACCAGATATATTCAGGCTCAGATTTTACCACATATAGGTGAATGGTCGTATTATTCTCCAACTGATTTCTCAAAGTTAATTGATGAATCTTTGCACAAGCCAACTCCTAATGTTTCTACTCATACCAAACCAAGTTTACCATGGAATTTTCCTATAGTTCGGATTAAAGGTACGTTATAGATAAAAAATATATTTGTTCAAAGATAATAAAAAATAATCATTTTTTTTTACTTTTATAGATAAAGCAAATAAAAACACGTTGGAAATTGGAAATAATACTCAAATCTGTCTTACAGGTAGGTATAGTCAGACTGCCTTGGTAATGTAAGTCCTTTCTCATACAAATTATAGTTGAGGAGTTACTCTATTATTATAGACAGCGATAAATTTCAGTTAGAAAATGGGTAGGCGCTCAAGAGTAACCAGAAATATGGTCAAAGGGGTAGTGGAAAGTGTATAACAGTAATAGTAAAAGCTTATTTGGAAGGATTTTTTTTGGCGGGAAATGTGAACAAAACAGACCGAATGTCTGCAAAAGATATGGTTATAGAGCTACATAAATTAGCAGAAGAAGGTGAAATTCAAAAGGACGAGGTATCAGAAATAAAAACAATTGAGGGTTGGATTACAAGATATTCTGCAAGCTTACGCAAAGAATCGGCAGAACAAAGAGTAACAGTGAAACTAATAAAAGAATTGAAAATGAAGGTGGTAATAGTAAAAATAGTCGTAAGCGGCAAAAAATATATAATATAAATCAATAAATTTTTAATTTTACTATATTTTGACCTACTCAAATCTCCGTTTCTTTCATATAAAAGTTTTTAAATAGGAGACGAAAAAGTTTTATAAATGATTAAATAAAAACTTTCAGATTCAGTTTATCGTTCTGTCAAATTTTTTTTTCCCGATATAGATTACTTTTGTGCTCTTTATGTCACATAATTGCTGCGTATTAGAGATTATCATATGACGATCGTCCCCAAATTTATCATATAAATCTGCTCCGATTGATCGGCGAATTAGCAATTAAGGATCGATTGTTTTATAGTTATAAATAGAAAATTATGACCAAACCCTTGGGTGGAATATATTTTCTTTTACACGTATGCGAATTTAAATGATTAAATTGAATAAATGAATGAACGCATAAATTATAATGCAAAATTTTGTGTCTGTCAAATTTTATTTAATTTATTTACAAAATTTTTCGCGAATTTAAAGAAAAATCTAAAATTTTTACATTTTCTCCGATCTTCAATTAGCGAGAGTCGAGTCCGTAATTGTGCTTATCCTTTGTATAGACGATCTATGCAATGTTAAATAAATATCGGTGTGAGAATTAAGGTAATTGAATATTTCTATTCGGGAATTTTACTATTTTCTGATAATAGTAGTAAATACATAAATTATAGTTGCACAATTTTTGATGTATTGCACAAAAAAATCGATTCGAGACGAATTGCTTCTGGAAATAAAAATTTCTGAAGTTTGAAGACCGTAATATTTTGTTGAAAACCAGCAAGAGAAGAATAAATAGAAATGATTTTATTTATTACTTCCAAATGCAAGTGGCCGATGTGAGATTTTGGGTAATTGGATTATATATTTCGGGAATCTTTTATTATTTTTTGATAAAACAAGTAAATATAATGAGTTAAAATGGCATGTCAATACGTCCGGATCGCCAAAAGCCCTTAATGTCATCTGCCAGAAATGACGGAAGTTCCCGAGTGACACAATTATATCTGTATAATTCGATTTATTTTAGACGAAATTTTAAAAAATTTTATCTAACAGGAATGTGTCAATTTTGACTTTTCGTTATGGGAGACGCTAATTTTAACGTTATAGATATTGTTCCGCTAAAACGTTTCATTAGTAAGTACTATCATAAATCGAACGTTAGGAAACAAATATGTTTCAAGAATGTTCGGGATGTCCTTTATTGGATAAACATACTATACTTGGAAACGTATATCGAAATATCAGAGCGAATAAATAGTCTTAAACTCATTTTGGACAAAAACAAAAATGATTATTGTTACTAACAAATGCAATGAAACTTCCATACAATTTGGTTATGAACTTTTAAAACTTTATCCACATTATGTGTATATCGATTGATATTATGTATTGACTTATTTTTACTTTATCAATAGCATTTAAAAGTTTAGTTTGTAATTTTTTTAGTTATCTGCTCACGAGGACTTGAATCACCACTGTGAACTTTCCACTTTTCTTTACAGAACACGGATTCCACATTTTATTATAATTATTTAAGACAAAAAATTAGAATTCATAAATATATCAAACAAACAATATATTCTTTATCTGTTCAATTTTTAAAGAATCAATTTTATGGTAGTATATCGATTTATAAAGAACGGTAAAAATTATATATTTATTGTTTATTTTTTACGTTCATTATTAATCTAAAAATTCATACCGGTATGGTTTTACATCAATTGTAAAACCATACATTCCATACATGAAAATCCATACCATACATGATTACTATACCCACATTTGTTAAGGAATCAGGCAAATTTGGTAAGCTAGTAATTTGAGTATCATTGCAATAGAGTACCGTTAAGGAGTTTGATAAAGTTTGTATCCTAGTTATTTGAGTATTAGAGCAATCAAATTTTGTTAAGAGATCGGGTAATGTTGGTAAGCTGGTAATTTGAGTATTATAACAATAGAGTTCCGTTAAGGAATTGGGTAATGTCGGTAAGCTAGTAATATGAGTATCATAGCAAGAAAGTATCATTAAGGAATCGGGTAATGTTGGTAAACAAGTAATTTGAGTACAATAACAACAGAATTCCGTTAAGGGATCAAATGCATATTTTATTTATCGATTTATAAAAATTATATCGAGGAGTTTAAAGTGAAATATATTAAGTGAATATTGAAAAAAGCTATAAATTAAATGGTTGTTGAAAAAACTATAAAAATAAATAAATTAAATTGATGTTGAAAATAAAGTTATGAATGATCATTTTTGCCTCTTTTTCCTCTCTACTAACATGGTACAGGATTTACTTCCCATATATCTACACTGCCATGGATATGCCAACATTGATCTCCATTATTTGTGAATGGGCCGCGCCATTTATCTTCTTCAGTAGAAAAAACGACTCCAAAAACGAGATGGTATGTTTCTAATGAGTATAATTTAATTCCTGAAATGGATGACGCAATGGATCTTTATTGTTGTAGTATCTTCTAATCATTGTATTATCTATTTTTTTTCAAAAAAAATTATTATTTTAAATATAATGAAGAAATATATAATTTGTAATTCGTTAATAAATGCTTAATCCATCTAGTAATGTTGTAGTATATTTAGATAAAATGTAATAAAGGATTCGGAGTTGATTAATCAAATACATTGAAAAAAAATTTACGGTCACATGATTATATACAGCATCAAATAATGACAAGAGAACAGCTGTAATTAATTTATTAAACACCAGAGACATTCATTTTTGATACAATTAATAAGATAAAGACAAGTATTCTTAATTATTGTATGTAATATGTGACGTTCAATAGATTTGTTAAGATATAAAAGGACGCGTCGAAAACTATCAAATAAAAAAAATTTTCTTAATAAATTCAAATCAAAAATAAAAAAAAAATACAAGCAAAGCATATAATTAGAAATAAAATTGAAACTTGATAACACAATGAATTCAAATTACTTGCTCTGTTAATGATAATTAAGATTTCTGCGCTTTGATGACATCTGTCAACGCAAAGGGATGTCCTGATCCAGCACCATTTTGCGAAGGTATTTGTTGTTCAATTATTAAAAAAAAGTATTCTTATTAATTATAATTTACGCAATGTTTTAAATATTTGGTAGATACATTATTAGAACAGTCAATATTTATTAATGCAATTTTTACTAAAAAATTACTTAAAAAAATTATTTCTTTCTAAATCCAGATTTTGAGATATACCAAATTCTGTTTAACCATAATTGCCAGTATACAATATCCATATTATCGTACGGCTAAAGCAGATCATGCTTAAAAGATATGAGATTTATTTCTAGTTAATTATGATTTTTCCAAGGCTTTCTCTTTCACCAATATAAAGGAGGCAAATCACCAAATTTTCAGGCAGCATAGGACTATTCCTCCTCCGGTTTATCAAATGAACCATACCAAAACTTCAGTTCAATATTTTTTTGCCGTGTGTGCAGTTGCCATTCTTTACAGTCAATTTCAACTCTACCTATTCTCAACTTCTAAATTCAATTCCTTATATTTATTGCAATAAATCAATACTATTGGTAAATTTCTTGAATAATATCATAGCTCTTTATTTTATTAAATAACGGAAATTTAGAAAAGCTAATATGAAATTAAGGTAGAAAATAAATTATTTCTATGTTATATGATAATTAGTTATTAATTTCAATATTGAACGCAAATAAGCTACTAATTTTCAATATTGTACGATCAATGCAAAATAAAGTATATTATAAAAAATATAGGTCAGCTCAGCATGATCCTATTTATACACTAGGTGACACAGAAATTTTGATGACCCGCCAAATTTATATATTATATTAAAATAAAAGTTTTTATAAAACTTTGTTCTCTGGAGATCTAAGATGAGATAAAGAAATGAATTGAAAAGATTGCTTAAAGTAAAATTAAAAATATGAATATCTAGTCTTTTTAGTCGCATAAGATTATTGCATCAATTATATAATAGATAAAATAAGAAAGCCCTTTTTTCAACATTTTTGTTTTTTGATTATTCGATCACTTCTTTCCGCAGTAATACAATTTTTTTTGTTTTATTGTTCATTTGGTTCATTTCTTTTTGTAATTTTTTTATTTTTTTTTTAGTATTCTGAAGACGTTGTGGACAAAATTTATGATCAATTGGGCCTTTGATTCAATTAACTTTATCACTTCATTTGAATTGTTTACAAGTTTACGCCAAATCCATTGACTCAATAAATAATGTCAGATCTGCAATAATTTTTAATTGTAACACCGGGGCTTAGAACTTTGATTAACGTTACATGCTTTTTTTTTTCTTTGCTTTCTCCTAGAATTTTTATCATTTCGTTATAAAAAAAAAATTAAAAAATCAAAATGCAAGTTAGCAATAATTCAAATGAGTGGATTGATCGTATTGAAGAATATATTTCAAGCAAAGATATCAAATACCACGAATACAAACATTTTAGTAATATTCAAGAGATTGGTACTGGCAGCTTTGGAAAAGTCTATCATGCAAATTGGAAAAGTTCAAAACAATCTTTTGCGTTAAAATCGTTTCATAACCTTAACAATACCACCGTTAAAGAAATAATTTGTGAGGTAATTTACAATATATAACTCGATTTCGGTCTCTATTTTTCAGTCTGTTTAGTATATAACAATTTATATATCAAGTTAAATTTATACTTGTAATAATTTAGCTCGAGCTTCAACGTGAAGTTGATTTTCATGATAATATTATTCGCCTTTATGGGATAGCTTCAAAACAAAGTATTTAATATTCATTATATTGATAATTTTATGTTTATATTTATTTATTTTTAATATATTTATTCTAAAAAAATATTTTAGGAAATAAAAATGTGCAATTGAAAAAGTATTGGTTAGTAATGGAATATGCCGATGGCGGCTCACTTAAAAACTATTTGAAGGTTAACTTTGATAATATTACTTGGGATGATAAATATAAATTTGCATTTCAATTGACTGATGCTGTGTCGTTTTTACATGAAGAAGGAATTGTGCATCGTGATTTGGTAATCTACATTACATATGTATTATCTTATATTGTTTATCATTTGCTTAATTATTAATAATGTAATTTTATATCCATTAGCATTCCGGCAATATATTAATTCGTCAAGGTATGATTAAACTTGCCGATTTTGGATTATCGAAAAGAATCGATGTGGCAACTGAACAGTCAAAAGTCTTGGGTGTAATTCCTTATATTGATCCTAAAAGATTTGGCGGACGAGAAGGAAGTGAAAGTAATTTGCAACAAGATTCTCTAAATTTGAAAAGTGACGTTTATAGTGTTGGCGTTCTCTTATGGGAGATATCCAGCGGTCATCCTCCTTTTTATTCTGAAGAATACGACATTTATTTAGCTATGAAAATTTCAAACGGACTCAGAGAAAGTATCGTTCCTGGTACGCCTGAAGATTATGTAAAGGTTTTTACTGGTAAATATACTTTTATTAATTTAAATATAATATTCTTGATTATTAATATTATTTATATTATTTTAGAATGTTGGCATAATGATCCAGATAATCGACCAGCTATGAGCAAAGTAGTTGATGAATTAAATGAAATTATTAAAAAAAAATTTATAATAGAAAATGAACAAGTGAACTATGAAAAATCAAACCTTCAGTTGTCAGAACAACCTACTTATTCTAGTATTAACAATTCAATAAATATGGAATTATCTCAAATGTTTAATTTTAATCAGATAAATTTAGTAGAAGAATCAAAATCAAATAATGAAATATCAGTCATTAATTACGATGATACAATTATTAGTTTAATAATTACAGAATTTAATAAGAATGACATATTAAACACCTTAGGGGGATTACAAAGATATCGAAAATTACAAATACTCGACTGTAATAATACTCAGATTACTACCTTACCAACATTACCTGATTCCTTAACAAAACTCCGCTGCTCTAAAACTCAAATAACCAGCCTACCAACTTTACCCGATTCCTTAACGATGCTTATTTGTAATGAGACTAAAATTAATTGCTTACCAACATTACCCGATTCCTTAACAAAACTTGTTTATTATGGTACTCCAATTACTAGCTTACCAATATTACCCGATTCCTTAACGATACTTGCTTGTCATGAGACTAAAATTACTAGCTTACCAACATTACCCGATTCCTTAACGATGCTTGTGGTGAGACTAAAATTACTATCTTACCAACATTACCTGATTCCTTAACAGAACTCTATTGTAATGGTACTCAAATTATCAGCTTACCAACTTTATCAAACTCCTTAACGTTTCTCAGTTGCTCTAATACTCAAATAATCAGCTTACCAACATTACCCGATTCCTTAACACAACTCCATTGCAATGGTGCTCAAATTACTAGCTTACCAATATTACCCGATTCCTTAATGATACTTTCTTGCTCAGATACTCAAATTACTAGCTTACCAACATTACCCGATTCCTTAACACAACTCTATTGTTATGGTACTCAAATTACTACCTTACCAACATTACCTGATTCCTTAATGATACTTTCTTGTTCAGATACTCCAATTACTAGCTTACCAACATTACCCGATTCCTTAACAAAACTTGTTTGTTATAATACTCCAATTACTAGCTTACCAACATTACCCGATTCTTTAACGATACTTGCTTGTAATGAGACTAAAATTACTAGCTTACCAACATTACCAAATTCCTTAATGATACTTTTTTGCTATAAGACTAAAATTACTATCTTACCAACATTACCCGATTCCTTAACGGAACTCTATTGTTCTGATACTCAAATTACTAGCTTACCAACATTACCTGATTCCTTAACAGAACTTGATTGTAATAAGACTAAAATTACTAGCTTACCAACATTACCCGATTTCTTAACGAAACTCCATTGCAATGGTACTCAAATTATTAGCTTACCAATATTACCTGATTCATTAACGATACTTGCTTGTAATGAGACTAAAATTACTAGCTTACCAACATTACCTGATTCCTTAACAGAACTTGTTTGTTATGATACTCCAATTACTAGCTTACCAACATTACCTGATTCCTTAATGATACTTTTTTGCTATGAGACTAAAATTACTAGTTTACCAACATTACCAAATTCCTTAACAAAACTTTTATGCTCAGATACTCAAATTACTAGCTTACCAACATTACCCGATTCCTTAATGATACTTACTTGTTATGGTACTCCAATTACTAGCTTACCAACATTACCTAATTCCTTAACGATACTTGGTTGCAATGAGACTAAAATTACTAGCTTACCAACATTACCTGATTTCTTAACGGAACTCCATTGCAATGGTACTCAAATTACTAGCTTACCAACATTACCTGATTCCTTAACAGAACTTGTTTGTAATGAGACTAAAATTACTAGCTTACTAACATTACCTGATTCTTTAACAAAACTTGCTTGTAATGAGACTAAAATTACTAGCTTACCAACATTACCCGATTTCTTAACACAACTCTATTGTTATGGTACTCAAATTACTAGCTTACCAACATTACCTGTTTCCTTAACAGAACTTGTTTGTAATGAGACTAAAATTAATAGCTTACCAACATTACCTGATTCCTTAACAAAACTTTTATGCTCAGATACTCAAATTACTAGCTTACCGATATTGCCTGATTCCTTAACAAAACTCTGCTGCTTTAAAACTCAAATAACCAGTCTACCAACTTTACCCGATTCCTTAATGATACTTATTTGTAATGAGACTAAAATTACTAGCTTACCAACATTACCCGATTCTTTAACAATACTTGCTTGTAATGAGACTAAAATTACTAGCTTACCAACATTACCTGATTCCTTAATACAACTCTATTGTTATGATACTCAAATTACTAGCTTATTAATATTACCTGATTCCTTAACAATACTTGGTTGTAATAAGACTAAAATTACTAGCTTACCAACATTACCTGATTCCTTAACTATGCTTTCTTGCTATAAGACTAAAATTACTAGCTTACCAACATTACCCGATTCCTTAA